TGGTGTGTTATTTGGGTTCTTACGATGGTATTCAGACCACCAAACAGAGGCAAAGTGAGTAAACTCACTAGTTGCAGCCCTAACACGTTTGTCCTCAGGGAAATCATGGTAAGTAAATTTCTAATCAACAGTTAATTCTCAACTAAGGTATATATCAGGATTATACCTGCCATCAAAAGCAGGTATGGTGAATTTAATCTTGCCAAATGAGTCAACGGCACGTACCTCTTGCCATGGTGGGCGAGAACCTATCTCATGGCGGCGGCGATGTTGTTCGATGCGTCGATGACCATTCACCTCCTCATCAAGCTCAGTGTTCGCTGCATATTCTTCTTCATTATGACCAGCAGCGCTGCCCATGGTGTTGTTGTGTTTGCGTCGTTCGAAACCATCACATCGATTCTGTTCCATCCTCTCCAATCGCTCCAAGACACCTACAAGAGATGTATTAACAGAACCAAGAGTGCCTTCCAAGAAAGCCAACTTGGTGTTGGTCTCAATCTGAGTCATCTCCAATTGACCAAGGTGCTCATTTGTGACACGAACGTCCTCATCAAGGCGTTCAGCATGGAGCCTCACTTTGCATTCAAAGTGTTGCAACAAGGCTTTTGATCAAGGTGATTGTGGAGGGGTCCTTTCATCTTCTCCTGCCATGGTTAGTATGCAGCAAGGGAATCACAAGAAAATATGTCCTACCAACTAACTAAATTAGGTGACAATAATTTTCATTCTCTAAGCATGTGCAACCGAGTTCTTACATGTCCTTACCTTGCTATGCAGATGGTGTTGGCGATGACAAGAACAACACAAGTAGTAGCAAGTAGAACCCTTTGACGTTGTAGATAATTTGTGGAGCTGTAGGTGTCTTAAAAAAATCAAGGTACATCTGGAACCACGTTAGTCAATGCAAGTTGAATAAGTGTTCAAAGATAGTACCGTGCTGGTCCTAGGCTAACCCGTGCTAGAGACGCGAGCCTAGACACAAATGTTATCACCGGACAGTAGCAAACAATGGAAATGATGAGAGTAAATAACATCAACTTAACCCTTCTTTTTTGTTTCTTTCTTTCCTCTTTTTCTTTCTTTTTCTTTTCTATTTTCTATTGTGTTTTTTTTTTTTCTTTTCTTTTTGACAAGTAGCACAAACTAAACTTTTGCAATAAGATTATAACAAGAATGTAGCAAGTAGCATAGACTTTCTTTTACTAGGGATAAAGATTATAACAAGTAGTACAAATATGCAATTTGAACTCTCTTATTTTCAAAACTGAGTGTACTCAAATTTGCACCAAAGGACAGGTGCATAAGGTAGTGTTTGTGTAGGAGCGGTTGAAGGTGATGGTGGTGAGGGTTTCAGCGAAAAGGTGGAGAGAGCAGCGGTGCTTTTGGTGGTGGTGGTGGTATTGGTGGAGATTGCAGCGGCTGAAGTGGGGGGAAAGGCAACAGCGGATTGTGTGGTGACTGAAACATGATAAGAACTCGAAACACTAAAGGATTAGAACCTAAGAACCAGCACTTGACACCACGTTGTAAACCACAAACTCAACAAGCAAAGAACTAAGCAGATCAGCAAGGCTCAAACTTGTGTTTGGAATTTCAGTTCTATCCTATTTTTATATTTCTGGACTATAGGTAAAGTGATAAACGGTAAATCACTCACCAAAGAACATTGCTCTGATTACCACATGATGGGATAAGGGATTGTTCCTGATCTTTTGGTGAGTGTGGATAAACTTAATTTGGGGTGGATTCGACGTTGGCTGTCCGACTACAATGACCATAAGGTTGCTGCGCCTTAGCAGTAGGTACACCAGCTCCGATTGTGATGTTCTTGCCGTGCCAAGAACACCATGAACCTGCAAGCAACCGAGAATAAGCAAGAACAAGATGAACAAGCAAATAACTCACGGATTTAAGACAAAGGCTGAATCTGAATCACAAGTTGGGGTCTTGAAACAAGCAAATCGGGTGGTCTAGCCGACACACGCGTTTACAAGGAAGAAGCAGCAGCTATTTTGCATCTAAACAAAACCCACCCTCATTCTGATGGCTGCTTGTTCTATTTATAAGGAGGAACGCACAAGGAGGAGTGAAAAACCCTAATCTGGGCGTCCCTCAATGGGCTCTAGTCAGTACAAGGTCCAGACCCAAGCTGTAGGTCTGTGTATCCTTTTGCTTGCTGCGCACAGTTTCGGTAGATTATGATAGTGGGGTTGGACCCATTTAAAAGAGGACGACGAGCTCTTTTCAACAAGTCAAAAACCAGCTTTATTGGATCTCGTATCAAGGAGTTATGGTATTTTTTATGGAGTGTTTCCTGCTGTTTCGAGATGTGCTGAGCACCCCATTAATGATGATTTCCACTTGTGCGGCTGCTCCATCCTCATCATGGGGTCTAAACATAAGGCAATGGGGTCTTGACCAACATTTCTAAGAATAAGACAATCATCACCATGATTTAGTAGCATCTAATTCTAAAATGAGTTTGTATGAACAGCGAGGAACGACTTTACCTGATAATTAAGTTGTCATGCTCGAGCTCTTATTATCGGACCTTATTGTGCAGCAGCTGTGGTTGTATCAATGGAAGGAATGTCCTCATCACAGTAAACATATAATATGGTATGATTTAATACAATGTTTTTGCTGTAGATTTAGATATATGTTTTTCTGTAATTAATTCATAGCTGTAATTTCTATGATCCAATTGTAGTGAAATATTTATGGTGGTCTAACTATTGTATGCTTTAACTGTAGTAAAAATTTCATACTCATTTCTATTCTTACACACTTTTAACTATTTTAAAACTATTTAATAAGCATAAAAATAAAGAAATCTATAACTCAGTTATACATGATCCAATAAGTATAAATTTTTACTAAAGTTCAATCATATAATAATTAGCCCACGATAAAAAAATTCACCACAATTAGACCATAGAAACCGTAGCTTTGAATTAATTATAGGAAAACATAGATCTAAAGCTACATCAAAAACTTTATACTAAAACATACTATATTATATATTCACTGTGTAGATCTACTCATGTGGAGTCCAACAAAATAGAATTTTACATTTTATGATTTTTATGTGATTTACTATGATTTTTTGAAAATTCAACCGAAATAAATAAAAAGAAAAAAGACAAAATCGTCTTTGAAAACCACCTATAACCAGGTCATAAAATGAACTGTTTGAAAAGTTGAGGAAAATGGTTTACCCGGTTTTAGAGTTCAGGGAGAAAAACTAGACTTTGAGGATAATTTAGGGAGGTAAAATGGACTTTTTTCTTGTGTATACTAGATTTTTTTTCACGGCAAAAATTATGGTTTTTTTTTACTTTGAGGATCCAACTATGGTATCAAGCTTTGCTCAAAAAAGACCTATGGTACCAAGCTCTCAGAGCATGTATGTTCGTGTTTTGGTGGACTGTCTGTCCGTGCATATTTAAGTAATTACTAAATTGACCACGATGAACTGGTCGGAATGACCGAACAGGCAGTTGACGCACACGAGGGCCAGACTTGGACACTATGCATCTGTAGCACCTCGAGGCGTCTGTGGCAGTGAGTGCTCCCCAGCTGAAGTCTCATTCTGTCTACCGTCTACGCAAATAGTTTGTGCAAATATCTTAGAAGAACGGTGGTAGATGCTAGGACGAAGAAAGAGGTAACTCTACGCATGAGCTTATGCAAGATAATCATCGTCTTGTTTGTTTGGACTGGTTTGACTTATAAACCATAACTAAAAGTACTGTTAGCTGATTTGGTGTAAGAAAAATATTATTCGTTGACTGATAAGTCATGACTTATAAGTCAAATACGAACCAACGAACAGGCTGCATATTCATTTGTGTAGCCTAGCAAACGACGTCGAATCCTCAGCCTGACATGTTTCGTACATAGAAAACAAATAAGAGTAGCTGCATCCGATGAGCATGTCTCAATCCAACCGCCGATGAGCATGTCCCAATTGATCCGGTCTATGGCCAGGCACGTTAAGGCACACTTTGCCCAGGAAACAAAAAGGCCTTGGAGACGGATGAAGCATACGGCAGATTCCCCGCCATCCAGCGCACCGCGCACGGCACGGGCGAACCCGACTGGCGACGCGTCGCCCGCCCGTTGCAGCAGCATCGCCGTCTCCACTGACCACTCGGCTCCGCTACCAAATCCAAAACGGCGCATCTGTCCTTTTGGTGAGCCGGGGCCCGTGCCGTGCCTGCCGTCCCGTGAAGCCGTGCCCGTGACCGCCCCGCGCCCCCGCCCCCGGGGTCGGTCGCCGGTTTCCGCGACCCCAAATCCGCGTGCGCCGCCCGCCCCTTAAATCCGCTTCGCCGGCTGGCAGCCAGGCACCCGGGCGGGCCGCCACATCACACATCCAGCCTCTCCTCTCCCCCCAGCCCGCTTCTTCTCCCTCGCCATCCCTTCTGCTGGCGCCGCGCGTAGGCGCATATCCGCGGGGCTTCGGGGGCTCGATTACGCCGCCCCCTTTGCTAGCAGGTAAGGCCGCCCTGGCTGAGACTTCTTCTTTTCTTTGGTTCTATTGCTGCTACTACGAGCACTCGGGGTGCTCAGATCCGTGTTGTTTTCCGATCCCGGTCGCTTCACCTGGCTGCGATTCCTGTCGTCTGCTGCGTGTTGTCGCAGTAATGCCAGCCTATTCCCACCAAAATCGCTCGGATCTCATGCTTTTACTGGGGAAAAAGTTGTCTTTTTGTTTGCGTTGCGTCCCTGTGCTCGGTCAGTTCCTCAACTGCAGAGGGAGGGACAGACAGACAGACAAGCTTTGCTGAATGCACTTTCTTTCTGTGCCAGGGATTGGATTGGAACAAAGCGTCTTCCCAGTGCCACGCAAAAGCCATGACCATTCAGTTGCTCCGCTGACGACGACTCCTCGGACGACGACAGCACGGCTGCTCTGACCTGCAGGCCTCTCGCCCACGCTGCCCTGACAGGTAAAGTCAGGGTGTGTGTGGGGAACAATCAGGTGAATAATCATGGACAGAAGATCCGGGGCGATCCTAGCGTGCCTGCTCATCGTCATCCTGGTCCGGGACACGGCTGCGGTCGCCGAGACCGAGCCTGGCAGCGTGCGGCTAGTGCAGGAGGCGCCTCATAGGAAGGTGGTAGAGGATGGGGCCAAGGCGGGGAGGGTGCCGGTGTCGACCGTCGCGTGGTCCACGCTCGCCATGGCCGCCGCAACGGGATTGGGAGCAGTGCCCTTCTTTTTCATGGAGCTCGAAGCGCAGTGGGCGGGCCTTTGCAATGGGATGGCGGCCGGGGTCATGCTGGCGGCCAGCTTTGACCTCGTGCAGGAAGGGCAGGTGTATGGCAGTGGGAGCTGGGTTGTGTTCGGAATTCTTTGTGGAGGTATATTTATTTGGCTTTGTAAGAAGGTGCGTAATGATTCTTTATCTTCATTTTTCTGTGATACTGTTACTAACCGTTCATATCAAGGAGTTCCATTTCATCATCTTGCAAGTATCAAACAACATTTTAGCGGCTTTAAACCTGAAGGGACCATTTGTGAATTCCATACAAGCTTGTTCAATAGTAGTCATTTTCCATTTTATATGGGGACCAATGGCAAGCGGTAGAGTCTTACCGCCTGTGACCGGAAGGTCCCGGGTTCGAGTCGCGGTCTCCTCGCATTGCACAGGCGAGGGTAAGGCTTGCCACTGACACCATTCCCCAGACTCCGCACAAAGCGGGAGCTCTCTGCACTGGCTACGCTCTTATATGGGGACCAATGGCATAATCATTTCATGCACTTCTCAATGATAAACAGAATCAAGGCTACAACATGCTAGCTATCTTGGGTCTTGTCAAAGGCCTATGCTTATTGGTCTAGATATGTAAGCACTTGCTAAACAAAACGTATCATTGACATTTAAAAGGCCTCTAATTGTCTAATGTCAAAATATTTGTCAGCATAGTGGTGCTACCAATCATATAGAACTACTTATATGGTCTTACAGCCAAAAATTCTGTAGCTGTTAGAGTCAACAGTTGCAGATTTAGCAACTGCAAAAATTAAATGGGCGTATTTGAGCACACTGTCCACATTACATAATCAACCTGTTCGTTTCGGCTGGATTGGCTTATAAGCCATGGCTGAAAATACTGCTGTCTGGTTTGGTGTGAGAGAAAAATACTGTTTGTTGGTTAATAAGCCAAGGCTTATAAGCCGAATACAGGCTGCTGAACAGGCTGAATGTAAGCCTACACACACATACTTGCCCTCATATGTATGCTTATAAGAAGTGCAGAGGCTACGTAAAACTTAAAATCAAAGCATGACTAGGTCAGATCAACAATATGCATTCCACATTACACTCGCATTTTAAGTGTATTCATCATCATATCAAATTTAGTTGGTGCTTATGTTTTTCAGATTAATTGGGATAACTTCTTCTCCATTATTTTGTTATATTTATTTATCTTTCATAACATAGCTTATATTATTTCCCTGTCCACAGTTTCTTGAGCAATATGGAGAAGTAAGCATGCTGGATATAAAAGGTGCAGATGCAAGTAAAGTTATTCTTGTTGTTGGAATAATGACTCTTCATTCTTTTGGAGAAGGCTCTGGTGTGGGTGTTTCCTTTGCTGGCTCAAAGGGTTCTCTCAGGGCCTTCTAGTTACTATAGCTATAGCAGTTCACAACATACCGGAAGGCTTAGCAGTAAGCATGGTTCTCGCATCTAGGGGGGTGTCCCCCCAAAAGGCAATGATATGGAGTATCATTACATCTTTACCACAGGTGCAGTTCTTAACTTCATTTCCTGAGTTGAAATATGAACTAATCTGATCGATGTATTGTCTTTATTCTTGAACCAATAATGAAAAGCATGCCATCTTTTGAGTTATCTTGATCTACTTGCAACTATGAAGTGATAAAAACCAATCTTTGTTTTGTGGACTTTTAAAGTAACTATGTTCTCTTCTTTCTCCTGGCGTCAGTGACTCTGTTTATTCATGCTCATGTGCTTGTTTGTGCAAGAGAGTGATTCAGTATAGAGTGTAGATAGACAGGTTTACTTGTAAAGTGGTGTAAGATTAAGGCTATAACTTTGCTGTGTATTGATGAGCTTTGTCCTGTGAGGTTCTTGTTAACTTCTCTAGCTATTCAAATTACCAAACTGAATCATAGTGGTAGTCAATTTAGTGGCACTAACAGTAATATGAGTTCCAAGGTGCAATGGGTGTTTTTCTTCAGTGACATGCAGTTTAGTGCCACTAACAGCAATTTCCTATCCTTCCTGGTTCCTGCTAATTTTGTATAAGCATTGCCATGTACTAAATTTGTGACCACGTGCAGTTTATTTCTTATGTTGCGAATACATAATTCATCTGCTCATATGCAACTGCAGTCTAATTCAGGTTCAGTAGTGACCTTCTTTTCTTTGTTTTCCTTTGTAAACCCAGCCAATTGTTGCTGTTCCTGCATTCCTTTGTGCTGATGCATTCCAGAAGGTGCTTCCCTTCTGTACTGGTTTCGCGGCAGGATGCATGATATGGATTGTTATAGCTGAGGTTCTTCCTGATGCTTTTAAGGTAAGTACCCTAAGTTAAGAAAACTGTGGATGCATTTGTTTGAGGAAGCAGTTTTGACATTTTCTCTGTAACATGCAGGAAGCAACTCCATCTCAAGTTGCTTCTGCTGGAACACTTGCTGTTGCTTTCATGGAAACACTAAGTACGGTGCTTCTGGGATTTACAGATGGCAACAAGTAAGTTTGCTATTAACATTCTGATGGTCTTACTTGGGCTAGAAAAAGAACTCTCGTTGATGGTAGAGATTTATTCTGCAGCTTGGAAGATGCATCAGGATTCTTAGTATCACTTGTGTTTGGACTTGGTCCACTTATCGGTGGAATTATACTAGTCACATTCTCTCTTGGCTTCAGCATGCCACACCCTCTTCTTACTGGTGTTGCATCTGGCATTGCTTTCCGTCTTGCGTCATGGAGACCTCTGCAGCTTCTAATGTCCTCAAAAATGGGTCTCTTTACCACTCTCTGCCTCCTCATTGGAGGTTCCATGGTCTACCATGCTGCCACATCAAGCATCCTTAGGGTGTTTAATCACAAAAGATCTTCCGCAAATGTGATCACTTCATCCTCCGGCCTCTCTCTTAGTGTCCTCACAATGCAATCGCTCCTTGCTTGTAGTGCTGTATTCCTTCACGCATACGCGGAAGGGCTTGCACTTGGTGTCGCGGCTCGCAAGGCTTATGGCCTTGGCCGTTACATGGTTCTCCCGGCCTCCCTCCATGGTCTTCCACGGGGTGCTGCTGCTGCAAGCTGTGTGTATGGTGCTACGGATAGCTGGCGTGGAGCCCTTGCAGCTGCTGCTTTGACAGGGTTTGCAGCACCAAGCGCTGCCATTAGTGCTATCCTTGCAAAGATTGACTATGATGGACTTGACTACTGGATGGTCATAGCGTGTGGGGCTCTAATCCCCAGCTTTGGCCGTGTCTTCAGGCGCTCACTGCGGTTGGACATGCGGAAGAGCATTGTTGGCCTGCTGATAGGTATTGCCTTTGCCTCCGTGTGCTTGATGTCGACTAGATTCATCTGTTTGCACACCCCTTACTGCAACTCGGCTCCAGAAGCAGTCACATGACTTATGCTGGCCTGTGCTGTTGTAAAACACATGTAATACTAGTGTAATGACAATACAAAGGATGTGGAAGGTTATATATATTTCATCGATGAGATCTCTTACATCGGTAAATCAAAAGGAAACTGACATTGAACAGAATGTGCCTTTTTCTCGCTGTCACTTTTGTCTGTCATGGAAGGTCCATGTAAATTATTCCCAATGTCGTATGCATTATTTTGTCTACTATTTTTATGTTCAGCGCTTGTTTCTCTACAGCAGTCAGTCAGTTCCTGCCACTCTGCCAGGTTCTCTACAAGATATTGTTGCCAGACTCAACATAAATATTGTTGCTAGACTGAACATAAATATTGTTGCTAGACTGAACATATTTTGCACCAATATTCTCGTTCATGATGAATTCTCTACAAGATTGGCAGGAACTGACTGCCTGCTGTATCCACAAACCATGCAAGCTACGTTCCTGATAAACCATGCAAGTTAACGCTTGTGTGTTCATACTAAGCTTATATGGAATGTAGAAATTTCACATGAACCATACAAGAATGGTACATGAATCAGTTCAATCTAATAGAGAAAATGTAAGATTTGGAAAAAAAAAAATCACATTACAAATGAAGCCTAAATAGGATCAAGTATGAAGTGATTACATGTCACCTGCATTGTTATCGAAGTCACTTGCACGTTGTAGTAGTCCAGGTTCAACATCAACTAGTTATAATAGACAACAAAAGAACCTATTAGCAAATAAACACCAAAACTAGACCATATAAAATTCAAATAACTTTGAGCTAGGTGTTAGAAGATAGAGTTTGATTTTAGAAAAAAAAATTATAACTGGTTTCACTTTTTTTCCCAACTAAAAGAAACTTTCTATAAATTTTCTATGCTTAATCCAAAATTTAGGATTTTTAATAGCATATCTTTCAAAAATTTGGATTTTTGTAAAAAAAGTTATTTGTATTAATAAAGTCAATTTGACCGAACTATCAATGGTCTAATTTATCCCTTTGCAGTTAATATAGCGCCACAAACTAAAATCATGTAGGGTGAGAAAACAAATGGTTTTGAAATTTAAGGAGATCAACATCCATTTGTATGGATAGGGGATGAAAATCAAACTTCGAGAAGAAAAAGAAGATAAAAGTACTCTTTATTTAAGAAAGAAATGGAATAACACCGAGTAAGCAACCTCTCAGGGTCTAGCTACATTTGTATGATCCGCTCTAAAAAGAAAACACTAGTACCACCCTATGTCCAAGTTATATGTTGTTTTGATTTTTCTAGGTGCATATGCTATGTACCTAGAAAGTTCTACATCTAGAATGCTAAAACGATCTATAAATTAGAATAGGGAGTATGCTAACCTTTTTTTTTTCTTTTGCCATGAGAAGCTATAGTACATGTGTAGTATCAAGTACGAACATGCGAATGAAGTTTAAGTTTGAACCTTATTTTTATAACATCTTGCCATCTCAAGCTGGTAAACTTTTGAAATCAAATTTTACTACATCTTAATTCTATATATATCGAGTCAAAATAACAGGACATCTGTTCAAAGCTTTCCAAATACATAAATTGGTGGATTTTCGCCGATTGGTCTTGTGCAGTATCAAGTATGAACATGGGAACGAAGTTAAGTTTGAACCTTCTTTTCATAACATCTCGCTGTCTCAAAACTGGTAAACTTTTGAAATCAAAATGTACTACATCTTAATTATATATCGAATCAAAATAACAGGACACCTGTTCAAAGCTTTCCAATCCAAATACATAAATTGGTGGATTTTCGTCGATTGGTCTCTGTCTCAACTCTGAAGTAGCAACATCAAGATTCCAAGTATGGTATCTGAAAACCGTGTCTTCATCTAGGGCGACATTCAAGATGAGTGGACGTTGATGTCACCGTGTTTAGTCAAAGATCTTCACCTCAGTTCCTTAAACAACTGCAGCAGTTGTAGTTTAGCCGCAACGAAACGGCAGAGAGTGAGTTCCACGGCACAGTAAGCTTACAAAGTTATTTTTTTAGCCCCTGTTCGCGTGCTCTTAAACCCGGCTTGATTCACTTACAAGTTAGTGTTTTTTAATCATCCAGTCCAGATTTCCAAAATTTGGAGTTGGCCCTTAATCTAATTGGAGTTGGGCACTCGAGATAGCATATTCTGGGATTTAAGAAAGTACTGTATGTAGTAGCTCTTTCAATCGAAACTTTTCTATTTTTTTCCTTTGAAACTGGAAAAAAAGAACGTTACATTCATTCACTTCCAAATACAAAGGAACAAATCCATGATACTCAAAATATGGTGAGACGTAAATTTAAACTGGATGTTGGTTATTTAAAAAACTGACACGTGTACCTTCTATTTTGGATGTATACCACCAAGATCATATGGTTTAGCAACATCCTTTTAAACAATGACATTTAGGGTCCATTTGGTACAGCTCAGTTTTACTAGTGCATATATTTTTTTGCTTCGGTTCCATGAGCTGCTTCACAAGTGAACTGAAGCTGATTTCAAAAAAGTGTTTGGCAAAATAACTTTTCGGAGAAGATAGTAGAGTGTGAGCCGGAGAAGCCAAGTACTTCAACTTCACCGGTGTTTCCATCCATGTGAGAGCATATTTTGGGGGTTTTTTCCAGGGAAAACTTGCTGGAATAAACTTAAAGACAGTTTTATAAAGCTGGACCATAATCCCTACTAAACATGCCCTTATTATGGGGAAAATGCATGGTTTATGTTTGAAGAATGCTCTTACAACTGATACTCCTTTTACAGAATTTATAAGTTAATAGTCACAAGATACACTAGAAATAAAAGTCCCCACCTAATATAAGAAAAACATTCCATCGTCGATCTTATAGACCTAGTTACAAAATAGATAAATATTACAAAGTATTTGCATATTTGTTGAATTTGTTATTAATTTATCCCTAAGTTCTAATATTATTGCTCTTATAAGATCAATAGCCTCGTGCAGTTGCATAGGTAGGCCGACTATGTCGTCGCAAACAATCTCTGACTCATACTTTTACCTTAACTCTATGGAATTTGTGTTGTGAATGAAAGATGAACAAAAGAGAGCAATCAAAGACAAGCAAAAATGTTAATGTGGCCTAAATTTCTCCATAGTTTTAGTACTACCCCCATCCTGCAAAGGGTGACGTTTTGGTTTTATCATAAATCAAAATATTTTATGTTTAACCAAATATTTAAGAAAAGTCATTAATATTTATGACACCAAATTGATTTTATTTCTCCAGAGTTTTAGAACTACCCTCCATCCCGCAAAGAGCGACATTTTGGTTTTATCATAAATCGAAATATTTTATGTTTAACCAAATATTTAGGATATTTATGACACCAAATTGATTTTACTATAAAAAATTATTTATAATGAGTCTAATGGTATTTGTTGGGTATCATTATATATACTTAATTAAAGCTAAGATTGTTTGACTTAGAACAAAACTAAAATGACACTTGTTGTGGGATAACGAATAATGATAGTACGTATTTCTCTTAATATAGCTAGCACGTCAGGTTGCATGTGTTGGTAGATTATCTTACTATTACTAATTAGAGGCCCCAATGGAGACACCACGTTAATTCTCACCAGACGCGCTATGAAAAAAGATAAATCTTAAAAATTCTCATAATAATCAGAAATATCTAGCCTTTAATTTGGTAGACTCAAATCATCATCACCGATAATAGCCATTGGATCTATTATAATTTATAAAAAGAAATTACCCACCTCTGCCATTATGAAAAATGCTTAAAGTAACCCTCTAATTTTGCATATAAATTACCCACATCTGCCATTATGAAAGAAAATTTAGAATAACCCCCTATATAAATCACCCACATCTGGTATTATGAAACATAATTCAAAATAACCCCCTCATATTGCATCTAAATTACCCGTCATTGCTATTATGAAAAATAATTTAAAATAGTCCTCTAACTTTGTATCTAGATTACCCACATCCGTCATTATGAGAGATAATCTAAAATATAACTCCCTAATTTTGCACATATGTCATTATGAAAGATAATTTAAAATACATAATAATGATTTTGTAAATTATCCACCTTTCTAATTATCAAAGATATGAAAATAACCTCCTAAACTTACATTCAACCTACCCATTATATTTGTGTTTACCTAAGCCATTATAAAAAAACAAAAATATTTCTCAAATCTACATGTGAATAGTAATATGTGCCATTACAAAAAATAAATCAATATCCATAAAGTACGAGACATACATATTTCTAAATTATAAACTTCTACAACCATAAAATTAATTACCATAATGTTATACTTCACCATTTGTACTAAGTAAACATATATATAATAGGATATATATTTATTTTAATAGCTTATGAAGCATGAAAAATATTTAATTGACAAACCACATAGAAATTTATAATTTGTTGTTTTAAATAAGTTTATATATTTTAATTGAAATATTATGTCATATCAATATTAGTAATTTAATTTTAAGCACTCTATGATATATAAAACAATACTAGACACATATAAGTTTGTGATATAACTAATTCAACAAGTTCGGTGTTAGAGTACAATCTTAGTTTCAACTTAATTTTAATATGTGGAAAACAATAATGCTAGGACTTAAACTCTTTTTAGTAAAAAATAATTTTTTGAATAAAAGATGAAAAACACTAGAGTTTCTACGTAACATGTGAATTTTTTTTTGCATAACTCAATTGAAAAGTCGAAAGCTAAACTATGATTTATGAAGTCAAAGAAAAGGATGCAACTAGAGTTTATATATCTTAATATTATGTTTCAAATAAATATATATAAATGCTAGAAATTCTAACTAGATATCTCTAATGGAGCCTCCATGTTAATCCTCTTGAAACATGTTAAACCTCACGAGACATGATAGGAAAAAATAGATCCTAGAAATTCTCATAAAATCTCAAACATTATATTTGACTATCAATTTGGTATAACCTAATCACCATCGA